TTTCTTTTTTATTAATATTATCTTGTTCTACTTAGCTTCAAACTAAGTTACAATGAAGTTGGATAACGGTACTTTTATCCAGGTGTCTATAAATGGAACTGTTTTTCAATATTTGGTCCCTAATAGTGCCATGTATGGAGAGGCTGTGAAATTGAGCTGACCTGGTTTTAGCCTCTGAATCTGAAAATCAGAGATAAAAAAATGTGCAAACTGGGGCTTGTGTGCAGTGTTAAAGGCTTTAAATGGAACCTACTTGAACAGGTGTTTCAGGGCATGAGGGAATGGTGTGTCAGAGTACAGTGCTGGCACTATCTCTCATTATACTAATTTATTTTACCCTTGTCCTGGGTAAGTTGACTTCGAGGAGAGAGGTGACTTTAGTGATCACCTAAAGTTTTATGCCTCTTTTACAAATGGATTTGGAAGAATCTTATGTATTTCTTTATGTTGTTAAAGTAACAAGTACAGGATGTTCTGCAACCTGCCTTATTTATTTCACACTTCTGGTATAAAAGTCACAATTTTAAATTTCACATTTTCCTCTCATAGCAAAACGGAAGCAATGAGCATTGAATAGTGCAATATTTACAGTAGCTGTCCTGCTGGTGGTACAGTACTGGTGATAAAAAGTGGTAAATTTCATTTGATTAGAAGTGTTGGATTGAATGCTGTTCAGTGAACCTTTTGGATAAGTGTACTCAAATATTTCATTCGTATTACTTTTGAATTGATTTTATTTTTCCTATGAAGTCCATGGGTGTGCATTTGTGCAGAAACTTCCCATTCAAAATGTTTCCAAATCAGTAAATTTAAAAATGTCGATATCATAACACTGCAATCTATAACATATAACATTGTTGAATGACTTCATGCATACTGTCTCCTCCTTACTGCCTATGACTTAAGGTACCTTGTTATTTTAGGGCTTGTTAATGGTTTAATTGACCTTGATTCTGTAGCTCTTTATTGACTGCAAAGTTTGATTACCCAGGGCTTGTTAATTTTTACACATAAAAATATTAGTATATATTCAAGACTTGTAGGGATTTAACAGATGAATATAAATGGCTTTGTTTAATGAGGCAAATCTGGATTAGGTTTGTGTGAAACAGAAAATTTCTGCAAGCTATGAAGGCTGTCCCCTGTAAGGCTTATCAAACCCATAACTATCCAGTGTTCGCTTCTGCAGCCAGATTTCCTACGTTTCTTCAGTTTGGGCTTTCAGAAGAGGAATCAAGGATGCTATGGAGAGGAAGCCACACATAGCGGTCTACCTTTATTTAACCATGGAAATCACATGGGAGACTGCACAGAGGTTTGTTTTGGAAATGGATGGGAAGAAGGAAGCTGCCTGCCTTCAACAAGTTTTGCTTTGATACCGTAATGGGATGGCCCAATCACAGCAAAAAGCAGGGCTGAGAATCCTCACCCTAAAATTACTAATGATTCTGTAGCAAACCCCTGGTTTCAGGATGAGAACCCTTGTCTGGGACAAAGCAGTGCAAACAGCTGTGCCTGCAGAAAGCTGGGGCTGTCACAGATGCTTGTCTAAGGCCAGGGAAAGGCCTTTTTTAGGGCTTGTGGTGTCATGAAAACAGGGTAGTCTCTTTGTTTCTGAATTAGCAAACCAGAGACAGAGGGAAAAGGCAGAAAGTCTGTCAGTCAAGCACAGCTGTATCTTGTTATCTATGGTCAGAGTGTGTGGAGGGGAAGAGGTCTGTGTTGCTCACAACAAAGCTGGACTTTTCTGTTAGCAATCCACTTTGAAGCTTGCTCTTGCACAAGGTACTATCTCCTTTATATTTGAGAAAGTTACTGTTCATGAAGGCTGCTCATGCTAGGCCAAATAGCTTAGTTAGTGATAATCCCTTCCCTTTGATTTCTCAGTGGTTTCAGTAATAAACACTAATCCTGCTGGGCACTTTGAGGTGATTCTCCAGGCAAACATATTAATGCAGCACACCCAAGGGTTAGCTTGGTCTTGAGGAGGCAATAACAAAGGGGATCCTGGGAACTAATGGTATTTAGATATAATAGATGTGCTGCTGACAAGTAAAAATCAACAGCTGAGAAAGAGGCTTAAAGTGAGAGGAAACATGTTATTGATGCAAAC